TTCATTTTATTTTCAGTTCCAAATTCTCTCTCTAACTCCAATCATTGAGAAAGCAAGAAAAAAAAACTTATTACAAATTTGTATAGTCATACAAAGCAAATGTCCATATTAGCCATGTTCCAAAAAGAAAGGAAGAAAAAAATAGATGAAAATATGCTTCAGTCTGCACTCTGAGCCTATTGGTTCACTATTTGGAGGTAGATAGCATGTTCCATCATGAATCCTTGAAATTGTGGTTGGTCATTGTACTGTTCAGTGTTACTAAGTCTTTCAAAGTTAAGATTATCTTTACAATATTGCTGTTACTATGTAAATTGTTCTCCTGGTTCTGCTTACTTCACTCTGTGTCGGTTCATTTAAGACTTCTCAGGTTTTTCTGAAACCATTCCCTTTATCATTTCTTAAATCACAATAGTGGTCCATCATATTCATATACCATAATTTGTTCAGACATTCCCCAGTTGCTAGGCACCCCTTCAATTTCCAATTTTTTGCTAACACAAAAAAAGCTATTATAAATATTTTTGTACGTATGAGTCTTTTTCTTCTTTCTTTGATTTTTTTGGGGCAATAGATCTAGTAGAGGTACTGCTGGATCAAAGGACATGTACAGTTTAATAGCTTTTTGGGTCTAGTTCCAAATTGTTTTCCAGAATGGTTGGACTAGTTCACAACTCTATCACGGTGCATTAGTGTACCTATTTACTCACACCCCCTCCAGCATTTGTTATTTTCCCTTTTTTGATGTTTTAGCCAATCTGATTAGTGTGAGGTGGTACCTCGGAGTTGTTTTAATTTGTATTTGAGTAATTATAAGTGAGTTAGAGTATTTAAAAAAATAGCTATTGATAGTTTTGATTTTTTTCTCCAAAAACTATCTTCATATTCTTTGACCATCTATCAATTAGGGAATGGCTTTATTCTTATAAAATTGACTTAGTTCTCCATAGAAGTGAGACCTTTATTAGGGAAACTTGCTACAATTTTTTTCTCTAGTTTCCTACTTTTCTCCTAATTTTAGCTTCATTGGTTTTCTTTGTGCAAAACCTGTAAAATTTTATGTAATCAAAATAGTCCATTTTAGCATAAGAAGCACTTTTAAATTGAATTTCTGCAAGTATTTTGTATGCTTTGGTAGGTTGATCCTCAGATATTTTATGTGTCTTTTTTTTTAGTCATTTGGAATGGTATTTCCCTTTCTATTATTGCCTCCTGGATCTTGTTATTATTATATAGAAACACTTTTGATTTTTAAAGATTTATTTTTGTAGCCTGCAACTTTGTTGAAGCTACTATTTTAATTAGTATCTTTGCTGATTCCCTAGGCTTTTCTAAGTAAACCATCATGTTAGTAAATACAAATAATTTTATTTCCTCTTTATCTATTTTTATACCTTTAATTTCTTTCTCTTGTACTGCTCTTGCTAGCACTTCAAGAACTATATCAAATAATAGTGCAGAGAGCACAAATTGTCAGCATTTCTGTATATTACTAACAAAATCTAGAAGGAAGAGATAAAAGAGAAATTCCAATTAAAATAACCATAGATAGTGTACAATACTTCTAAGTCTACTTGCCAAGAAACACACAGGAATTATATGAACACAATTATAAACCACTCCACACAAATAAAGACAGCTCTAAATAATTGCAGAAATACTAATTGGTCATGAGTAGGTCAAGCCAATATAATAAAAATGACAATACCACCTAAATTTACTTATTTAGTGCCACACCAATCAAGCTGCCAAAAAATTACTTTACTGAACTAGAAAAATAATAACAACACTCATCTGGAGGAACAAAAAAAAAATTAGTATCAGGAATAAATGAAGAAAAAATGCAAAGGGAGGGGGGGCCTAACAGTACCAGATCTCAAACTATTCTACAAAGCTATAAGCATCAAAACAATTTGGTACTGGGTAAGAAATAGAGAGATTGATTAGTGCAACATATTAGGTAAACAATATACAATAATAACATGAAGAGTAGTCATCCTTATTTTACTCCTGTATTTATTTATTAGGAAAGATTCTAGTATATCTCTATTGCATATGATGCTTGATTTTGGTTTTAGGTAGATAATTTTTATGATATTTTTAAAAAGTCTCTTTACTCCTATATTTTGTGTGTATGTTTTTGTTTTAGCATAAATGAGTGCTATATTTTATCAAAGCCTTCCCCCCCATATTGAGAAAATCATGTGGTTTGGGTTTTTTTTTGTTTTATCATATAGCTAGGTCTCAATTAGTTCAAATAATGAATCCATTGAAATGGTCCCATGTACTCAAACTCATCCTACTTGAAGTTATAATTCTGTAAAATATAGTGATTAGTTCTAGCTCAATGGAAATATGCAGTGTGAATTCAGGTGATATGATCATTTAAGGGGATTCATTATTGGTACTAATCAGGACCTAGATGTATGATTAACTGTGTTTTCTCAATGTTGAATTATCCTTACATCCTTGGTTTAAATCCAACTTGGTCACAATGAATGATTTCTTGGATAAATCATTGTAGTCTATTTGACAGGATTTTGTTTAACTTTTTTTTATTCATTAATGATATAAGTCTACGGTTCTCCTTCTGTACTTCATCCTTCCCTGCTTTAGGTATTAGGACTATATTTGTTTCATAAACAGAATCTGGTAGAGTAATTCTCAGTTTTTGAGAACAATTTATGTACCATTATGTTGCCAACTATTTCTGCTGTGTAAGTCATAAATTCTGCTTTCACAATTCTTATTTCTCTTTAATCTATTCAGGAACACTTGCTATAGTTCTGTGCTGTCTTGGGAATCCACATGGTCCTCTGCTCTCATCTGTTCTCAGGTATTTTCCGTTGTCTTGCAATATTTATTCAAAGATGTCTGTACTCTTTTAGTTGATCTGGGCGGCTATATTTCTGTCTGTTATTAATATCTTCCCTATTGATTTATCTATTAATGCTCAAGGTCATTAATGGATTTTCCTTCCCCCTTAGATCTTTGATAATTCTGGTCTTTTATATTTCTATTGCTCACTTTTTGACTCCTTCTCCTTTAATGATAGTTTACCTGGTGTCTAGACCTCAAAACTCTATCAGGCTCTTCCCATATAGGGCAATTCACCTTTCATTGACTTCAGTCTCTGCCTCAAGTGACTTATGGGGAGACAGGTCTGGTCCCAGCTGCATACCAAGCTCTTTCCCTCAGGCTTAGTGGAGTGCCACACAGCCACACACATGTGCCTTTTGCCAGTTCCATCTGTTCCTTAGTTCTGTGGCTCAGCTCTGTTGCAGCACAGAGCACTGCCATGCTCCTGTCCAAAAATACCTTTTGGTTTTCTGTGGCACAGGGAGATGGGAGAGAGAGATGGTGAGTAAAATTGAGTTGTGTTGCAAGCCCTTTGCTAGGCTCATGTAGCACTGCCCAAGCATAGTGAGTGATGAGGGAGGGGTGTTGAGTGAGGGCATTAGGAATTAGGAATTAGCCTTCTTTATTCATTGGATTGTTGTTTCATTAGGGTTCTTGACCATAGAAGCAGCTGAAATTGCCTTATCTCTTGTGCACAAGTCCTATTTTGGAGAGATTTGAGAGATCATGAGCAATGGGTAGAGTGTCAAGTCTATCTTGCTGGTCAAGTGACCCAGAAGTCTACCATTGTATTCTAAGTTTGTGCCCACTTTTCTCCTCATGGACTCTGTATTTGTGGGAGATTGTGCCCCAAATTTGGGGGTAATGCTTTGTAACTACTGTTTTTGTTATACAATTTAAGCAAGAGTCATTGTTAAAGAACTGAGTCTACTGACTGATTTTTAAAGGGAAACAAACCATTGGGGTCTCATGAGATTCAGTGTTAGGATAACTACCTGCAGGGTTACCCTTGGAACCCTAACTAGTAGCCACCTCTAAAGGAACCCAACTTGCCAGAACCAGAGGTGATCCCTGAAGGGATTCTACTTTACATAATGGATCCAGAACAAATGAGGTGATAGTCCTGCTATTCTCCATCATTGTCAGACGATGTCTGGAGCACCATGGTCAGTTCTAGATGCTATATTTTAGAAAGAACATTGGCAAGCTGTAGAATGTCTAGAAGAGGGTAGCCAAAATGGAAAGGGGACTTAAAAATCACATTATATGAACATAGGATAAAGAAATTATGAATGTTTAGCCTGTTAACTTCAATCATCCTAGGAGACAACTTAGGAGGGATATGAACATAGTCTAAAAACATTTGAAGTGCCTGGCACCAGAGGTCAGAAGTAGGATCGATGGATAGAAAAGCAGCAAGGTAGATTTCCATTTTTTATAAGGAAAAACTTTCTAACAACTAGAACTCTGCTATAATGGAATGGACTGAGAGAATGAGTTCATAGTATGTCAAACTAGAAGTGCTTTTTAAAAATCTTCTCTTCATAAGTTCATAGATCTGGAACTGGAAGGAACTTTATAGTCTGACCCCCTCGATTTAGAGATAAAGAAAATGAAGCTGAGGGAAGTTAAATGACTTGCTCAGAGTCACATTAGAAGGTAAACATTAGACAAAGTATTAGAAGCCAAATCCTTGGTGGGATTCCTGTTAGTGTTTCTTCTCCTCTAGCATGCTACCTCCTTACCAACTCTTTACTTTTATAGATGAGTGAAAGAGGCAAAGTAACTTTCCCAAGGTCCAAGAAGTAGTGAGTGGCAGAACTAGACCTTGGTGTGTTAACCAGAAAGGATTAGAGACAAAGACAGCAGATCCAGAAAGCCTGTCCTCCTCACTTGAACCCATCCATGATTCACACTCACAAGGTAAGGAGTCCCAGAGACCCTTTATCATGGCCTCTTCCTTATTCACTCTCTCTAGACAAATCTAGCCTAGTCCTGCCTCTCCCAGGAAGGCTGGTCTTTCCCTCTGTCAAGAATACACTGGCTCTGGGCCCTGAACTTGGGTCAGGGTCAGGGGGAGGGGGCTCAGCGTGGTTGGAGTTTATCTTACTTTCACTCCAACTCTTCCCTTGGACCTTAACCCATCATATTGATCCAGACACACAGACACCATGCAGTTCCTACTGCTACTGGAATCCCTAATGTTGGGCCTGGGGCTGGCGCTTCTGGTGAGAGAGCCCTGGTGGTGAACAGGGTCCAGGAGACCTTGTGAAAGGGAAAGAGGTTGGGGGTGGTGTCATTTTCAGGTTCTTGGAGAAAGGGATTCCAGGAGGGAAGGGATAAGACGGTTCCAAGAGAGATGAGCATTGGGTTAAGAGCTCCTTTGGGGAGGGAAGAGGAAGTATGAAGAAAGGATTTAGGGTGGTCTCAGGGGCAATCAAATAGGGGCAGAATTATGCTTTCAGAGGGAGCAGTTTGGGGGCTGGGTGAAGGAAGAGGGGCTATATTATAGGGTCCCCAGTGGATGGGAATCATGGTTTTAGGAAATCCCTAGGGGAAAACATTCCTTTTTGACCTTGGGTCCCTTGCTCTGCCCTTGGATCTGGCTGATTAGTTGTTGGTTGGGGAGGGAAGAGAACTAGAGTTCCCAACATACCTTTCCCCTCTCCTACTTTCTCCAAATGTCTGGTACCCCAGGGTTAGGAAGTTTTCTGCTTCCCTCCGTTCCAACCCGAGTACCCCCAGGCACTTAGCTTTTCTAGGAATCCAAGGTGTCTCCCAGTGGGAAACATAAGAAATAAGAAGACACAAAATGGCAGGATGGTAGAAACATGGCTTAACAACAATCTGAAAAAGCTCTGGGGTTTTTAGTTCCTGGAAACTCAATATGAGTCAACAAAGTGATGTAGCAGTCTAGGAAGTTAATGTGATCTCAGGTTCCTGTAAGATATGCAGAGTATCCTGAGATAAGGAGGTAGTTCTGATCAAATGAGATAATATTTGTAATGCACTTTGCAAACCTTAAAGAGATAAATACTAGTTGTTTATTATTGTTTTTGATTATTGGTGTACTCTGCCCTGATTAGACTGCTTCTGGAGTATTGTAAATATGGGACTATTTAGCCTGGCGAGGAAGGGAAAAAAAAAGGCTGGGGGTGGAGACTGGGACAGCTATCTTCAGTTACTTGAGGGGCTACCACCTGAAAGGATTAGACTTCTATTTTACTCCCAGGGGGAGAACTTGGAGAAATGGGTAGAAATTGCAGAGGCAAATTCAGGTTTGACATAAGATACAGCTTCCTATCAGTCTGAGCTGTCCCCAAGTGGAATGGGTAGCCTCTGAAGGTAGCAAGTTCCTTATCACTGAAGATCTAGCATAATCTGGGGGACCTTTTGTCAGACATGTTATAGAGGGGATTTTGTTCAGGTAGGAGTGGTACTGATTCTGTGATTCTGAAACCGGCCTGAGGGTGAGGTTGAGCTCAGGTTCCCCACACTGGGCCTCCTGAACACGAGGTGAAGAGGTCAAGAATGGGAACTGAGAAGGATGAATCAGAGCTTATGGGAGAAAAAGAAATGGGGAAGCTCAGGGTCCTGACCTGGGTGGTACCTCTGTGTGTGAAGTGGATGGAGTGGGAAGGTGGTCTGTGGACCTCTGAGCTGGGGGAGAGAAAGGACACGAGGAAAATATGTAGGGGAAACACAATGAAGAGAGAGTTTAGGGAGCAGTAAGGGACCTAGTGGGGCAAGACTTAGGTGGCACTACCTCCTCCCATCCTAACTTCTTATAGGTCCCACCCTGGAAAACTGCAAAAGAACCCATGACCACAGCAGGTAAGTCTTCTCAGTGGGACTTCTGGCCAAGTGGCCAAGGGTGAGGTAATGGTGGTGGTGGTGGTGGTGGGGGTGGTTCTCGGAAGGACCTTCACTGGGAAAAAGCAAAAGGGCAGATTGAGATAGAGACCCAGGGGTGAGTCTGGCTGTCTAGGGACACTCTAGCCCCAGTCTTTGAGTGAAGGCCCAGGTCTGGAGGTGGCATGTAAATGAGTTGTTGCTATTATTGTAATTATGAGTGGGGAGGGAGGATGACTTTCTACTTCCTCAGCCAAAACACCCACACCCCTCAGTCCCTTCTTAATGCCTCTTGCATTCCTAATGCCTCCCTCCCTTCCTTCCTTCTGGGTGTCCCACTCCCCTCTCCCAACCTGGGCTACCAGTTTGTGAAATGGCAAACACCAAGCACCTGCTTTGTGTAGGCAACTGTGCCAGGCACTGTGGGAAATACACAATACATGGAGAAGCATTTTCAGGCCCATTACTCACTGGTTATGTGAACATAACCAAATCACTTAACCTTTCTGAGATGTACTCAGTTTCCTTGTTTGTAATCAGTCCATCAATCAATAAGCATTTACTTAGTGCCTATTATACATCTGGCAATAAATCAGTCAACAAACATTTAGTAGGCTCTGGCTATGTACCAGGCACTGTTGTTAGGCACTAGGTAACACTCGTGCTCCCTTGAAGTTGTGAGAGAAATATGTAAACTGCGAAACACTGTAATAACTGGGGTTTTTATTATTGTGCGTAATCTGCCTTTCAAATGTTTGAAGGATGAATGAATAAAAAGGCAGTGAAGTATAGTGAAATCTTCTACCTTTCCAAAGTCATCAGCCATCACTCAGCTTTACTGTCCATACAACAGAACCAAATAGAACCAAGTAGAACCAATATAGGCTCTGATCGCCTATATTCTGTGTTATTAAGATCCTTTCCAGTTCTGACATCCAATGTTATAAATGTTCTCCCAGCTCGGACATTCTATATGGGGTCACAAAGAGTCGGGCACAACTGAAGCTCATCCCTCCTGACTATTTGACAAACTTCAGTGGCTCCCTATTACTTCTAGAATGGAATATAAAAACCTGTTTGGCTTTTAAAGCCCTTCGTAATCTAGTCCCTTCCTAGCCTTCCAGTCTTCATACACCTAACCCTCCTCCACATACTCTGTGACCCAGACATACTGGCCTGTTGCTGTTACTTGCACATGACATTCCATCTCCTGACTGGATATTTTCTTTCTTTCTTTCTTTTTTGATGGATTTTGTGAAACTAGAATTTTATTTTTAATTATTATTTTTTAAATAAGTGAGTTTTGGCTGGGTTTAGAAATCTTTGTTTTTCAGAGTTTGGGGGCAAACGAATGTACTCTCAGAGCAAGCCCTTTGGTGATGGGTCACATATAGCCAGATAATCCCCGAAAGCTCCTGCGGAATTTATGAGAATTAGTAAAAGTATTTACTCTAGGATACTCTGAAGGAGAGAGGGGGCAGAATGGCCCCCACTACATTATTACTCATAGCTAACATTCGTATGGTGCTTTACCATTTTCCCACAACAGCCACACGAGATAGGTGGCTGAAGTATTATTATATCCTCACCTTTTTTTTTTCTAGATAAGGAAAATGAGGTTCAGGGAATTGAAATATCTTACCTATAGTCATAGTAATCGACAAAGCAGGACTCAGATGCAGGTCTTGGGGCTGCAACATCTCTGGGAAGAGATGAAACAAAAGGACAAACCAGCTTCCTCTTCAGTCATTTATTTTTTTAAAGTTTTCAACATTCACTTTAATAAGATTTTGAGTTCTAAATTTCTTCCCCCTCCCCCACTGGACATTTTCATTGTCAGTCTCCCTCCTCACCACCTCCTGGCCTTCTTTAAGTCTCAGCTAAAGTCCTACCTTCTACTAGAGACCTGACCAGGTCTTCCTTTTTTTTTTTTAAGAGGCAATAAAGTTAAGAGTCACCTAACTAGGAAGTGTCTGAGGCTGAAGTTGAACGCATGAAGGGTCCTCATGAGTCCAGGGCCAGCGCTCTATCCACTGAGACACCTAGCTGCCCTGACCCAGTCTTCCTTAATCTTAGTGCCTTCCCCGAGATTATTTCTAATTTATACAGTATGTGTATTGTTTATGCATATTTGTTTGCATGCTGTCACCTCCATTAGACTGTGAGCTCCTTGAGAACAGGGACTGGTTTTGTTGTTGTTGTTGTTGTTGTTTTTGCATTTCTTTGTATCCCCAACAACTTAGCACAATGCCTAGCATGGGCACATTTTGGTAGTGCTTAACCTTGCTTCTTGACTTGACATATGTCATATCCCATTAACTAGACTGCTAGCCCCTGGAGGGTAGACCTGAGGTTGGCTGCATGCTGTAGGGGCTCATTAGGCATTTGTGGGTTAATTACAGTCCTGACCAGTGGAGATCCCTGTTACTTCCCCTTCCAATATCGAGGCCAGCTGTACCACCAATGTACCAGGAAGCACCGTCCAGGACCCCGCCCCTGGTAAGCTCCTGACCTCCCTCCCCCTGCTAGGCTGTATTGTCTTGGTCACAATATTCTGCAAGGCTCTCAAATGAGGATATTACTCCATTCAAATAAACTACCTTTTTTTCTCCTTGGGAAGATGGGGGAAGGTGATGTATATTACTTTGACATTGTACTAGTGGTATGGCCTGGGGCCAGTCTGACCCAGTTTCCTGGTCTGTAATGACTTTGGCACTCCCTTCTAGCAGGGTTATTGACAGTGTAAAGATTTGTAAATCTTAAAATTCTAGAGAAGTGAGAAGGTCCTATTGTTACCTCCCAGTCTCAGGCCAACAGCCTCAGGAGACCTCCCTTCTTGCAGATTTATAGATTTGTAAATCTTTAAATTTTGGAGAAGTGAAAAGGTCCTGTTATTATCTTCCTGTCCCAGGCCAAAAGCCTCAGGAGACCAGGCCTTCCTGGTCTCCTCTCTCCCTGAAGTACAGTGGTGGTGGTGGTGGTGGTATCCTCTGGCAGGATTTTTGGGGAGGTGGGCCTTTTGGGGGGTATACCACCTGGGTCTGCAGAGCAGGGATGACCCCCTCTTTCTGCAGGTGTGCAACCACAGATAACTATGATCGGGATCAGCAGTGGGCCTATTGCCTGGAGACCAAGAAAGTGAAAGGTGCCTTGGGTGGAGCTGCACTCCCTTCCTCCTCCCTGGTCTCTCCTCTCTTTCCATTGCAGAAAGTCCTTGGACCCCTCCCCCACCCTACTCCCAAGCTAGGAATTTGGATGCAGCTCAGGGTTTACTGCTTCACTTCTCCAAGAAGAAGGGTCTCTGGGGTGACTATCTCCAATCTCAATCCTTAGGCAGATAGAAACCTCCTAGGGCTACTGTGACCAGGATTTCATTCTTCCTGTCATCACGCTCCCCTAGCCCCATTCCTATTCCATTCAGGGACTCTGAATCCTCAGTGCTCAAATGCAAGAGCCTTCTGTCCATAGATCACTGCAAGCACAATCCGTGCCACCAGGGCGGGACCTGCATCAACACTTTTCATGGAGCTCGCTGCCTCTGTGCCCCCCACCTCACTGGGCATCACTGCCAAAAAGGTGCCAATTCACTTGAGGTCCACTGTGCCTGACTCTGGACCCTGGGTTTCTGGGTACTCAATACAGTCACTCCCATAGGGAGGGTGGCCCCAAATCCTATGTATGGGGAGGAGGTTCTACCCTTGGGGGCCTCATCCTGTCAGAATCTAGATGATAATAGTATAATTATATATATATATTTATACATACATACATATATAGATAACATAATTATAAATTATAAAGAATTGTAAGATTTGCAAAGTGCTTTACAAATATTATCTCATCGTATTCTCACAACATCCCTGAGAGAGAGGTCATATTGTTATCATGATTTTATAGATGAGAAAACTGAGATCAAGTGACTTGCCAGCGTCACACAGCTAGTTTAGTGTCTGAGGTAAGATTTGAACTCAGATCTTCCTGACTTCAGGTCCAGTGTGCTACCAAGAACAATCTCAGAGATGCGAGAAGGGGACATATAAACACCTAAGTCAGGGACCTTGCCTCTTGGGACCCATTAGTGGCACATCTTGGCACACCCTCACTCTTTGTACTGCCCTTAAGCATAGGCCCTTGCAGCTAGGTGGTATGGTGGATAGAGGCCTGGAGTCAGGAAGACATCTTTCCAAGTTCAAATTCAGCCTCAAAGACTTAACTAGCTGTGTGACCCTGGGCAAGTTACTGTTTGCCTCAGTTTCTTCATCTATAAAATGAGCTGGAGAAGGAAATGGCAAACCCCTCCAGGATCTTTGCCAGGAAAACCCCAAATGCGGTCATGAAGAGTTGGACAAGAGTGAACACCAACACCCTATTCTTAAGCAGCATGCTTTCTGCCCCCAGAGAAGTGCTATCAGCCTCAGCTGAGGCAGTTCTTTGATGAGGATGAGACATGGCTTCGTGCAGAGCCACCAGGAGTGGCCAAGTGCCGGTGTAAGGGCCCCAGTGCTGACTGCAAGTGGCTGCCACACAGCCAGGGTAAGGATTAGCCTGGCACAACCTCAGGGAAGCCGGAGCCGGGAGGGTGGAGGAGGGACAAAGCCCCAAGTCCAAAGACTTGGGTTGGAGTTCTAGATAGGCTACTGATTACTTACTTGGTGTGACTTCCTATTTACTGTATCTGAAGCTTCTGAACTCTCCTTCATTTTCCCAGCTGGAAAATGAGATATGATTATAGGGTTTCTAAGGGATCTTCCAGCTTTGACACTAACCTTTTATTTTCCAAGATTTCTTTGGAAAGGTCCTTCTAGCTCTGACATTCCACGTTCTATGCCCTATTCTCTTGGCTCCCTTCTACTTCTGAGTCTATGTTCTCAGGTTTCTTCTAGCTCTAATGTTGTGTTCTATGCTCTATTCTGTGTTCTACTATCTAATCTCCCTTTCAGTTCTGAGTCTATGTTCTAAGGTTCCTTCTACTTCTGAGGTTAAGTGTTCTATGCTCTATTCTGTGTTCTATCTATTCTCCCTTTCATTTCTGAGTCTATGTTCTAAGATCTCATCTAGCTCTGACACTTCCTGGGGCTTGTGATCTTTTTAAGTTCTAACATTATTTGTACATCCTCTCTAATTTTCTAAAGTTCTTGCCCTCTCTAATGGACTTTGTTCTAAAGTTCCAAAAGTTCCTTTGTTCTAAGACTCCAACATTCTATACCCTCAGGCACCTTTCAGCTCTAATAGCCTGTGTTCTTTTTCTTGATCCTTTCTAGCTCTAAACATCCCATGTTCTTTGATTTCATTTATGTTCCAGATTTCTTCTGGGTTCTGTGTTTTAAGGTCTCTTCCAGCTCTAAGGTTCAAAGTTCTACAAAACCTTCTATATCAGACACTATGTTCTTCTGGCTCTAACATAAGGTCCATTCTAGTTCTAACTTTTGTATCCTAAGTTCTAAGGTCTTTTCCAACTTTTAACTTTGACATTTTATATTCTAAAATACAATCTACCTCTGAGGTTCTATGTTCTTGGATTGTTTCTAAATCTAACACTATTTTCTAAGTGTCTTTCCAATTCTAGACATTCTATGATCAGTGGTTCCATCCAGGTCTGACATTGTGCTCTGGTCTGGTCATTGTGAAAATGAGACCCATTTCAGGACTCTGGGGGAGTTGTTGGTAGGGGGAGGTTGGTCAGCACTGGTGTGGGACACCACTCACCCTTTCTTCCAAAAGATTATACTGAGAACTCTGTCCTCTCCCCAGCCTGCCTGGATAACCCCTGTCTCCATGGAGGGAAGTGCTTGGAGGCAGAGGGCCAGCCTGTCTGCCATTGTCCTCCAAGTTATGCAGGGTACTATTGTGAAATAGGTAGGTTCAGGCCCCTTTCAGGCCAGGGCACTCAAGGTGGGTTCGAGGGGAGATGTGATCACTAGGGCCTACAGAAAGGGAGAAGCACAGGGAGATGTCCTCATTCTCCTTCCCTCTTTTAGAAGCTGACATGTCCCCTTCCCCCTTTTAGAAGCTGACAAAGGGAGAGGGGAGACGGAATGTGGTCTAGTGGAACCAATACTGGATTGGTTTCCACATCAAAAAAGGGGATTTAAACTAGATGATTTTTAAGGTTCTTTCCAGCTTGGAATCCTATCATCTTAACCTATGAGATCCCCAGGTTCTAGTCCCAGTTCTTGCCGTATGCAAGTCACTTCTTTCCCAAAGGAAAGAAAAAAATTGAGGGGATGGGGAGAAATGACAAAAGTGGGGTGGGCCAACTGGAGGAAGAGAGCCCAGTTTTGGGGAGCTCCCCCTGCCCTTCCATTTCTGGATGGCCTCTCTTTATTCTAGACACTAGTGTGAAATGTTATAATGGTCGGGGACTCACCTACCGCGGCACAGCCCAGACCACATTGTCAGGAAAGCAATGCCAACATTGGTCCTCAGAGGCCACATTCCGGGATCTGTCCAGGAAACAGGTGCTGGCCAGGGGGTTGGGCCATCACCCCTATTGCAGGTGAGGAGGGCTTGGGGTTGAGTAGGGCTTTCATGAGAAGAGGGGAGCAGTCTAGGGAATGGGGAGATGGGGAAGGAGAGGCAGGTTCAGGCAAAGCCAGGGAAGAAGAGGGGAGTAAGGCTTTGGGGAGGAGTATGTGTGGAGCCCAGACCAGGAAAAAGATGAGAAAAGGTACCAAGGAGATTGTTGAGTGTTTTAAGTTGAGTGGAGGACCCTCAACTGTACTGCGTACCATTTACATATGGTTTCAGGAACCCAGACAATGACACTAGCCCATGGTGCTTTGTTCACACTGGGACCCGGATGAGCTGGGAGTACTGTAGTCTGTCCATATGCCAACAACCAACTCAGAGTCCAGCCATTGCATCACAGCACTTAACTACATCTGCTCCATCATCTTTTACAGGTAGGATAGGGACCAGGAGGGAGGAGAGGGGGAAAACCTCATCTCAATGGTAAAGGGGATGGGGAATTCACATAGAAAGCAGGTCACAGAGGGTGTAGAATGGCAGAGGGCACTGGATGGGCACAGATGGGATGTCCAGGGCTGTCACAAAGGACAGGGTAGGCAGAGAGACATAGGTCTGAACAAATTCGGGTGGAGGCAGCGGGCACAGCAAACAGGGATGTAGTGGGCACAGCAAGGCACAGGTGGGCAAGACTCCAGAAGTCATGACTCTAAGAACAGCTAGGTTATGATGGAGGGCACTAGAGTAAATACAGGGCAAGTGTATGGCTGGCAGTGAAAGTGAGCACAGGTTGGGTGTAGAGGGCATGAAATGAACACAGAAAGAACTTTTTAGAGGTGCTCCATGGTGGACAAGAAATAATAAAGACTGCAGAGAAAGAAGGCAGGCAACTATTATGTCATGAAATGGGCACAGAAAAGGTACAACACTGACTCCATTCAAGGGCACAAAGTGTGCATAGGCTTTGGAACAAAAAATAAAAGCATTGTGCTTATTCATAGTGTACAGACAGAGAGCATCAGTGGGCACAAAGTGAGCAGAGAGGGGCTGGATACAACTAAGAAGGCAGGTATGATATAAAGATAGTACTGACAGAAGATACTGATTGGGCCAGACAGGAGAAACACATGGGCTGGCAAGACAGTGGGCAGGGCAGGCAGAGGTTACTGGATGGGTACAGGCAGTTGGAATGGGACACTGAGTGGGCATTGAAAACACATGAAATAGGAACAGAGCAATATAAAGGGGTCAGCACAGGCAGAAGGCACAGGTTGATAACAGAAACCACAGGATAGGAACAAGAGGATTTTGGTGGGCACAGAGAGAAATAATGAGGTTAGCATGGGGACAAACATGGACAGAGAGCATGAGATAGGCATTGGCATGAGGCTGTCATTCATAGAAGGCATGGGGATGACATAAATGGATACAATGTGGACATAACTAGGGTAGGCAAAACACAAGTTGGCACAGTGTGAGCACTAAGAGAACAAGGCTGGCAAAGAGAAGGAGGTTGAGTGTAAACATAAACACCAAGATTGGATATGGGCAGGCACTGGTAGAGGGCACAAGGAATAGAATGTAATTTCTATTACAAAACAAGGGCTTTTCCATTTTATCTTTATAATGTCCTAGCACCTAGTAGGTGCTTAATAAATGCTTGTTGAATTGAATTAAACTGAAGCTACAGATAGTTGTCAGAAGAAATGGTACCATCACAGAATGGTTGTAGAAAGAATAGGGCAGGTAACAGCACAGGATGAACAGGAAAAAGGGCACTGAGTGTGCACAAGCAAAGGATAGGCACAATGAGGGAAACTGGATAGGCAGAAGTTAGGGCCCTCAAATCACTAGATGACTTCAAAGACCCCTTTTAGTCTTAGTTTTGTAACAGCTATTCTCAGTTAAGGGAGGGTATACACCAGAGGGACTTCAAAAGGATGGGAAAAGACTATGAAAGACAGAACTATGGGAAGGGAAAACTATAGCTCAATGGAGTAGGACACGGTGGGGGGAGAGGAAGGCAGGGATCTCAGTTTTGGGGCTTCCCCTCCCCAACCAAAAGCATGGGGCAGGGACAGGCAGTACAAAGTTAGGGGTTATTACTATAAGATCACAGGCAGGTCAAGGGGTACACACAGAGGGCATAGGGTGAGCACAGATATCAGTGTCTCTGGTGGGCATCAGTCATGAGTCTGGTGCTCGGGTCCCTTCCAGCATCACTCAGGGAGCCTCTCCAGTCCCAGCCTTCTCGGAGGAAGATTGGCTCTGTGGCTTGTGGCCAGCGACAAAAGAAGAGGCTCTCTGGGATGACTCGCGTTGTGGGAGGGCTGGTGGCATTACCAGGGGCACACCCCTACATAGCAGCGCTCTACCTGGACCAGACCTTTTGTGCTGGCAGCCTCATTAGCGCCTGCTGGATTCTCACAGCAGCACACTGTCTGGAGAGCAGGTGAGTGACCCAGGGCTCTTCGGCTGGAACCACCCCAAGATTTAGTTGTTCCTTTGGGAGGATTACTCTGGGCAGCAAGAGAGTTTAAGCTTGGGATGGGAAAAGCTAGATCCCTTTATGGACACGGCAAGAGAAGGCTTGGGGATTCCTCTCTCTCACCTTTGTCCCTTCCAAGCAGGGAGGTTCAGGGATTTGGATATGAAGATCAGACTTGGGGGTCCGACTGGAGGTGACGAGCAGGGGGTTGTGTAGGAGGTGGGACCTGGGTTGTCTAACGGCGCGCTGCGAAGCTGCCAGCCAGTGTTCCCATAGGCCTGACCCAGGACTGCTGACTGTGGTTCTGGGCCAAGAGCGATACAAAGAGAGCTGTCCGCAGTGCCAGGAATTCTCGGTGCGTGAGTACCGTCTGCACGAGGGCTTCCGGACTGACACGTTCCAGAACGATATTGGTAGGTGCGGGCGAGTCGCCCAGGGCCAAGAGGATGGCCTCAGCCCAACTCGGTACCCCAGTGCTCCCCTTAGATAGGGAAAAGGGGTTGGAGACGAGGAGGCCCGGGCCCGAACCCCAGTAGCACTCAAGCTCTGTCTTGGTTGATTTCTGGGGCGTTAGCGCTGGTGCGGCTGCAGGAGACAAAGAACGGCAGTTGCGCGCAGTTCACGCCCTTCGTTCAGCCAGTGTGCCTCCCCGATACTTCGGAGCCTCCGAGTGACGCCCTGAGCTGCCAGGTCGCTGGCTGGGGTCACCAGTATGAAGGTAGTAAGCAGAGGGCAGTGAAGATGGCTTTTTCCCTTACCTGGGTCTGCACGGGAGATGACCCGGATCGAGGCAAGGAAGGGGCCTTAAAGGGTGGCTAATGAAAGGGTCAAATTAGTGTGAGAGGATAGATGGCATAAGATGGCATGGACAGCTGCAGAGTGGATAGAGTTGGCCTTGAAAGCCCATATTACTCTCCTGCCTCTTTGCTTGGTACCAGTAGGCTGTGTGACCTTGGGCACACAGTCATCACAGAGCAGCAACTTCATTTCTAAGACTGTAAGGTGGAAAGCAGGTGCTAATCTGTGTTGGTGGAAGGAGTGTACTCACTTGGATTTCCCTGCACTGACTAAATCTAAGGTTTGGTTAAAAAAAAAAAAGATGGGAAAGAGCTTTGGTAATGTAAATATGGGCCGTAGTAGCCTAATGTAGTGAAAGTATTTCAGATTTGAAGTGAGAGAACTCTGAGGCCTCTCTGGCCCTGACCTCTACTTAACTGGGTGTTCTTGGGCAAGTCACTTCTACTCTCTGGTCCTCAGTTTCCCCAACTGTAAAATAGAGGATTATTCCCTCTAAGGTACCTTGCTAGCTCAGAATCCTTATGATCCTATGGGGGAGGGGTTAAAAGGGTCATAGATCTTCAAGAGCCATACAACTTTCCCACATGATTTGCGGGGCCTTGCTCTGGTGCAGGGAAATTCCAGCATTTGTTTGAGTCTTAAAGAGTCCTTGGCTCCCTATAGATTTAAGCGGTTCTGCTGCTCACACCCTAACTCAGCTTATAGACATTTTGGGAATGACTTCCTTGGGCACAGGACTCAGGACTGGGGTCGGGGGAGAGATGAAAAGAAGGGTAGGAAGAAAATGTGAGTCCCAAACACAACCGGGGGACAGGGGTGGCAGCGAGTAGACCCTAACCTTGGAGGGCTCCGATTGGGCCCTCCACCCCATCACCCTATCAAAGAACACAATCTGGTCACCTTTCCTGCCGTACTACACTGCAGGGGCGGAGGACTACTCTAGTTACCTGCAGGAGGCTCAGCTTCCGATCATTCCCTACGAGCTCTGCTCAGCCCCAGAAGTGCATGGGACAACTGTCACCCAAGACATGCTGTGCGCCGGTTTCCTGGAAGGGGGCACAGATGCCTGCCAGGTGAGCGGAGAAACAGGTCACAGGAAAAGGGGAGCGGGGAGGCAAGAGGCAGGGACAAAGCACTAACACGTCAATGGCCCAGGGCGACTCCGGAGGACCGCTTGTGTGCGAAGAAGCAGCGGATCGGCTCACTCTGCGCGGAGTGGTGAGCTGGGGCACAGGCTGTGGGAACCGAAACAAGCCTGGAGTCTACGCCAACGTAGCCAATTATCTAGGATGGATCCGGGAAAACACTGCCTCCTAACAGACTCTGGGTTTAACTTCCCCTGGGGTGGGCACTCAGGGCCAGTGGGGGTCCTGGTAATGGGGCGGGTCTAGAATGAAGAGTGTGAGATAGCATTACCTTGGCTTCTGGATCTTCTCTCAGCGCCGTGGGGCACTAAAGGGGTTTGTCTATTCTCTGGCCCCAAACAAGTCCTGGAAGGTGGAGGAGACGTGAGTTCGGATCAAATTTTGGTATCACAGTGGGTGTTGGTGTCATAGAGGATGCTGATATCACAGCGGTAACCGAGAGAGCAGCAATGGGGGCTAGGACACGCCCGTGGGGCTCAGAGCGCAAGGCAGGGAGTCCTCTATCTCCCTGTAATGGGCGACTGGAAGACATACATCAGCGCGGTACTGCGGGACCAGCGCATAGATGACGTGGCGGTGGTGGGGCATTCGGACAACCGCTGCGTGTGGGCCTCGAAGCCTGGAGGTCTGCTGGCTGCTATCTCCCCACAGGAGGTGGGCATACTGACAGGCCCTGACCGCCGCAGCTTTCTGCAGTCTGGGATCACCTTGGCAGGTCGACGCTGCTGTGTCATCCGCGACCACCTCCTAGAAGACGGCGATGGTGTTCTGGACGCCCGGACCAAAGGGCTGGATGGTCGCTCTGTGTGCGTGGGACTCACGCCAAAGGCCCTGATCGTGCTCATGGGCCGACGGGGCGTGCACGGGGGCACACTCAACAAAACTACTCACCATCTTATCAGGGGCCTGCGGTTCCAGGGTATCTAGGATGCCAGGAGCCAGCGACGAGAGGCAGGGAATAAATACACATGTAATGTAGCCTGAGTCCTGTTCTGGAAAGTGGGACAAGAGGATGGATTTTGGGCTACCCAGGGCCTCACTCTCTGGCTGCCCAGAGAGGGTGACCTTCCCCTTTTAGAGGATTGCTTGGAGCAAGTACTTATTTAGAATTGTGGAGCTGGAAGTCAGGGTTGCTCATCCTTCTGACTCAGTGATTAGAGCCATGGAGATTCAGGGCAATCTCACAGCCAAGGCAGGACTCAAAGTTCTCACGCACAACTAGACTCACAGCTGCCTCCAGAACAAATAAATGCCAGCGAGTCCAGCATCAACCCTAGTGCCATCTTCCCAGAAGGCAGTGGGGTTCTGTAGTGGAAGATCAGGCCAGTACAAAAAACAAGGGTTGGGATTAGGGATTGGAAAAGGCTTTTGATAGAAGCCTTATTATTAAGCACTATATGCCACACATATCCAATTAACCTCTGGGGATTTAAAAAAAAAAGGTAAAAAAAGTTTGTCCTTGTTCTCAAGGAGTTCACATTCTTATGGGAAGGGGGAGGGAAAACAACATTAAAATAACCTTGTACATACAAGACATATACAGTGTAAATAGAGGATAATCTGAAAGGGACGATAATACTAGTAAGGGGGTCATGGTGGACCCTGAAAAGCCTACTGGAGAAGGTGGAATTGAAGCTGTTGGGAAGGAGGCTAGGAAAACCAGGAGATCCAGGTGAGGAGGGAGAGCATTCCAGGTATAGGGGATAGGGAGGTGGAGCTGGGAGTTCTGGCTAGGCCAGGCCCTGTTTGCTTCCACTGACTCTTCAGAGCTGTCTAGGGTAGGACATGGAGCCCAACTAAAACTAGGACTGGGAGGCCCCTGGCCACCTAGAAGGTGGGCTTCTCTCTCCTTGTCTTTGAAGTCATCTTCCTCCCTCAACAAAAACTCCCATTGGTAAGGATCCTATATCCATCCTCACAACAATCTATTGAGGAAGGAAGGACTGGGATTTTTATTGCCCACATTTCTCAGGGAAGGGAAACTGCTCAGAAAACTTCAAAATATTTTAAGCTTAAGATCACACAACCATAAGAATATGGGTCTCTCAACTGCAGAAGTCCAGAACTCTCTTCACTCCATGCACTGACTCTTTTTGGAGGCAACAAGCTGAGATTGCCAAGCTTATCCCAGCCTTTTCCTTGTATAGCCACTTCATTCTTTTCCCTCTCATGTTCTCCTTTCTCTTTTCTACTTCCTTTCCTTTCCCCTTCATTCCCTAGACATTTTATTATATTCCCTTCTACTCTTTCTTTTCTCTCTCTCCCTCCTCTTCCTTCCCTCTTCTCCTTTCTCTCACCCAGCCCTCACTTTTCTCTACCTTTCCTGTACTCTTTCTCCTCTACTTTCCCTTCTTTTTTTCTCTGGGGGAGGGGCATGGGCCTTACAGGGATAGGATTTCTTGAAAAGGGGTCTCAACTTATAAGTTTGGTGAACTAGTTCCAGTGTCTCTTCTAACTGAACCCTAGAGAGGATTGAGTGAGGGGTGGCCTCAGGCAAAGGGTGCAGGGTTGAAGGTCCTGGGAGGGATGAGACTGGGAAAAACCACCCCTTCTAGGCATCAGTTGGCCTCTGGAGCCACGCATAAGGCTGTGAACAAGGTGCCCAGGGACCTCCTTCCCTCTGAGAAGAATCTGCTCAACAAGTATTAAGCTCCTACTGTCTGCCAGGGACTGTGCTGAGCCCTAGAGGTACCAAGACAAAGCATAGTTCCTGCTCTTAAGGAGCTCACAGTCTAATGTGGGAGACAACATGCAAGTAACTATGTACAAACAAGATATATACAGGTATATACAGAAATACACAGATAAATTGGAGATAATCGACAGAGGCAAGACACTAGCATTAAGAAGAATAGAGAAGAGCTTCTTGCAGAAAATGGGATTTTAGCTATGGAAGCAGTTTCCTTCACCCCCAGGCTCCAGGACTCTGAAGTTCCCTTTCTCTCATCTCTTTGCCCCCAGCTCCCTTCTGGGGGTGGGGAGGAGCCTGGCTGTTTCATTCTGGGGAAAAAATTCATAATTAATTAAGCCTTTGCTTCTTTTCTCTTGAAGCTATGGGCTGCAAATGAGAAGGATATCGGACCTCCTGGTTCCCCATTTCTATTAAATGAAGCTATTTCATTTACCATATCTACTAAATGAAGCTGCTTTATTTACTATTTACTAGTGCTGCCTTACTATCCTTAACCTCCTGCTCCCCTTCCCTTGCTTCTTTTAAAAAAAAAATTTATTTATTTTTAGTTTTCAACATTCACTTCTGTAAGATTTTGAATTCTAAATTTTCTCCCCCTCCTACTCCTTTCCCCCCTCCTCAAGACAGCATGCAATCTGATATAGGCTCTACATATACATTCCTATTAAACCTATTTTCACATTAGTCATGTTGTAAAGAAGAATTAGAACCAATGAGAGGAACCACGTGAAAGAATAAGCAACAACAAAAAAGAGTAAATAATATGCTTCAATCTACATTCAGACTGCATAGTTCTTTTTCTGGGTGTGGATAGCATTTTCCATCATGAGTCTTTTGGAGTTGTCTTAGATCCTTGCATTGCTAAGAAGAGGTAAATCTATCAAAATTAGTCATCACACAATGTTGCTGTTAATGTGTGTAATGTTCTCTTGGTTCTGCTCACTTCACTCAGCCTTCCCTTGCTTCTTGAAACCACCTGGTGGCAGCTCCTCCTTCACTGCCTTGCTCCATAGCCTTATTGGGAATCTCTGTGATCTGAGCAGCAGAGAACATGAAGGATGGTACTGCCACTTGGACTCTCAAACCCAGTTTTCCTTTGGGGAAACTTCTATGGCATCTTAGAGTTAGAATGGCACTTAGATGTCATCTAGTTCAACTCTCACCTGAACAGGAACCCATTTTCCAGTGTCCCTACCAAGTGGTCATCCAGCTGTACTTCCATGAACAGGAAACCCGCTGCCTTCTGAGGCCACCCATGCTAATGTCTTTGGTGGGGCAGCCCCAATGGTAGGAAGTTCTAATGCTGAGCTGCTGATTTCCCCCTTGTACCTTTACCCAACTGGTCCAAGTTCTGCTCCAGGGCTAGCTAGTGTTGGCAACAGGATGGCTCCAGACTTAGTTTTTATCCTGTTTCTTGATCTGGTCACTGAAAATCTTAGAATCAAAGAATTTAGAGCTGGAAAGAACTCTCTCTTTCATAAAGGAGGAAACTAAATTCTAGAAAAGGGAAATGACTTTTCCACGGTCACATAAAATTAGTTCCTCAATTGTTCCTCAGTTTAAAACTCTACCTTTTATTGACACATTGTGCCTAGATCATTCAATTCTGAAGGGACAATCCTCCTCTTCAGATTGAATCCTCATTTGTCACAAAGAGTAACAATTAAGCAATATACTGTGACTATATCTAAAAATATATACATTCTGTCCCCAGTAGTTCCCATCTCTCTGCTAAAAGTTACTCATAATTTATTACTTTTAAAAATAATTAAATTTTTTGTTATTCTGAATTTCACAATCATCAGTTTGCATTTCCATATATAAAGAACAGAAAAAGAGAATTATACTAAGAACAAATCTCCATTATGTACAGCTTAGTTTTTTAAAGTATATAAGGACATTTAACATGTTCCAAAGCTTCCCATCTGTCTGTTTTCTTCTGAACCAACTTCCATTTAGCTTTGGGCACTTTAAAAAATGCTTCACTGATGCTCTTATTTTTTTCCTGTCTTATTATGCTTACACGTCTTGTTCCCAATATTCCCCTAGATTTAAAAACAAACAAACTTTGTAACTAACAAGCATAGTATTTTTAAAAATATTTTATTTTATTTTATTAAATATTTCCCAATTACATGTAAAAATTTTTTAACATTCATTTAAAAAGTTTTTGAGTTCCCAATTCTTTCTCTTACTCCTGCCTTCCCCTACCCATTGAGAATGGAAGCAATATGGTATCAATTATACATGTGAAGTCATGCAAAACATTTCCATATTAGCCATGTTGCAAAGGAAAACACACACACATACACACACACACACACACACACACAAATGAGCAAAATAAAGTAAGAAAAGTATGCTTCATTCTGCCCTCAGAGTTCATCAGTTCTTTCTCTGGAGGTGCATAACATTTTTCATCCTGGGTCCTTCGGAATTGTCTTGGATCATTGTCTTGATCAGAGTAGCTGTTTTTCACAGTTGATCATTTGCTGTTAATTGTGTACAATAGTCTCCTGTTTCTGCTCACTTTACTTTGCATCAATTCATATGTCTTCCCAAGTTTTCTGAAACCATTGTCATTTCTTTCTTTCTTTCTTTCTTTTTTTTTTTTGGTGAGGCAATTGGGGTTAAGTGACTTGCCCAGGGTCACACAGCTAGTAAGTGTCAAGTGCCTGAGGCCAGATTTGAACTCAGGTCCTCCTGACTTCAAGGCCAGAGCTTCATCCACTGCACCTCCTAGCTGCCCCCATTGTTGTTTCTTATAGTACAATAGTATTCCATCACAATCATATACCACAACTCCAACAAGCATAGTATCTTTGAAAATATGCTGAACTTAAGAGCAAACAAAATGAACATTTCCATATACATAGTAGAACAGAAAAGAAAGCATTGCACACGAAACTGTGAATCTCTATTCTGATAGCTTGCCTTTTCTTTTATCACAAATTCAACATGTGACTTTCAAAGCTAGCTTGGAGATTGAGATATCCAAATCTACACAGTCTCCCATGCCTTCTGACTTGACTCTGCCCCAAGAAAATTTCAGGTAACATTTATAGGAATCTTAAGCCATCTCAAACACATCTTTATTTCCTACCTGCTGTACTCATTTTAGACTTCTTTGATTTCTCCACCAAATCCCCAGTAAATTTATCATTGGGAAATCTCATGATCTTGCAAGATCCAATCAGCTTTGCTATTCATGTCTCATCAGTCCCCTCTGCCCTTCTGATTGGAGGGTGAAGCCATAAACTTCATTTA